TAATACTTATGATCAAATTCGGATATACAAACTAAACAATGTAAGTTTTAAGATAACTGTGGGCAGGGGGTATGGCGATAAAAAACAATAGACTTCAAAATGTCAAGAGACATGTGTGTCTATTGCTAGAAAGAAAGAACATTCTAAATATATTACTTGCCACTTTTTGTGTGTGTGTTCAAGGAACTAAAACCATAGTTACATTTGCTATTTTCCTCTTTTAGACTGCCATCTGGCAATCCACACTTCCACTAAAAAAATAAAATAAAATTGCAGCTGATTGGACTAAAATAGTTAATGTACCTCCCTACGTGCCAAAAATATGTCAGGGAATCTATGGTTTGCTCAGCAATGACCCCAAAGAAAGAAACTAATGTCTCTTAAAAGAACCAAACAGTAGTAGGAGAAAAAACACAACAAAAGTAGTTATATACAATAGGCAAATTGAAGTTATCAAACTCATTTATTATGTCCCTAAGACATGACATACGAAATTAAAAAAAAGAAAAAAAAAGTACACTAATCAAATACAGCAGGACACAACTGACCATAGTCATTGCATTTCCAGTGTCATGGGAATTTGTTAGGAAATGAGTGAAATAATGAGACAGTCACACAACTCAAGAGAGGCAGTATAAAGATTCTTCACAATAATGAATATAAGTTTCACCACAGTAACTCAGTCTACCACCACTTCCTTTTTCTTAGTACCCAAAAGTTGTCAAAAGACAAACTGTCACATCTAAACTGGCATATCCTTAGAGTTCTCTTTCACAAATCCATAAAGGCTGTTACCAATAGATAAACAGTAATTATCAAATATAAAAATAAGCAGAAAATGATGTACCATTCATTTGACAAGTGTTTTGTTAAATGCGACCATAATACTAATGAGCAAGACACACAAGGTTCTGGTTCACATGGAGTATACATCCTAGCACAGTAAGGCTGGTGGAATTATCAAACATTTGGGGAAAGTAACACCACAATGCTAAGTATGAAACACGAATTTTTTCAAAGAAAGGAGAGTTAACACCCAAAGAAAAGAGTTAACAGAGAAAAACAGAAGACTTGAAGTATCATTATTATTCTCAGAGATACTGAGAGAATAATTCATTTGTAAGAGAACAGATTATGAGGTAAGAGAAAATTTTGAATAAACACATTTAGATACATCTGTATGAAATCTTAGAAAACAAGGATAAAGAGAAATCCTATAGGTTTTCAGAGATAACATGTAAGAGATTTTTATATATTCAAGGATTAACTACAGTTCAACTTTAAAAGAAGTACATAAAACAGCATGTTTCATCAAATCAATAAAACGAAGACTATTAAGCAAAAAACTAAACTGCAAAAAAATACATACTATATAATACTTTTTGTAAATATTTTTAAAACATCAAATATTTTTATGGAAATAGACTTACACAATAAAAATACAAAACCATTCACGGCCACAATACAGGACTGTAAGTAAGAGGGAAGAATGAGGTGCCTGGGTGGCTCAGTCGGTTAAGCGTCCCACCCTTGATTTAGGCTCAAGTCATCATCTCAGGGTTTTGTGAGTTTAGGCCCTGCATTGGGCTCTGTCCTGACAATGCGGAGCCTGCTTGGGAGTCTGTCTCTCTCTTTCTCTCTCTCTCTCGTCCTCCTCCTCCTCCTTCTCTGCTCATTCTTTCTCAAAATAAATAAACATTAAAAATTATTTTTTAAAAAGAGGGAAGCAAATGGGGCAGGGCGTTGGTTTGATACATCTCTAAGAAGAAACTGCCACCATCACCAGAATCATAAATGATCTCAATATAGAGAACAGAGTTCAGGAGAAGGGAGAAAAAGAAGAAATACGAAACCTTATTAAGAGTCTTTTCTTGTTCTGGTGAAGAGTATGTATACTAGTTACATCTAAAAAATGATAATAATAAAAATAAGTTCAAGTACATATTTTAAAAATTTCAGGTCAACCACTAAAAATCACTTTGAGATGGAAATTTTTTTTTTACTTCCAAATCATCAGAGGACAGAAATGATGCAGAGAAGACAACCAATGTAAAAGATAGTAGACTAAGTTCAACTCTATCAATAATCATAGTGTGTATTAAATTCATTATTGAAACAGACTGCCATATTGGAGGCTTTTTTTTAATTCATTTGTGTTTTTTTTCCTTTTTTGTTTTGTTTTGTTTTTTTAATTTTAAGGAGGCTCCATACCCAACATGGGCTTGAACTCACTCGCGTGGTCTATTGACAAAGCCAGCCAGGTACCCCACTCATATTGGAGTTTTAAAATATCCAGCTATACTCAGTTTATGAGGTACATGTTAGCAAGACAAATACCTAAGATAAAATGACACAGGATAGCTGAAAATAAAGAGATGGAAAAACATTCCCCTTCTCCACGGGGGTTACATTTCAAGACCCCTAGTAGATGCCTGAAATCCCAGATAGTACCCAAAGCTATATATATTATGTTTTTTCCTAAACATACATATGATAAATTTTAATTTATAAATTAGGCACAGTTAGAGATTAAAAACAATAATTAAAAATAAAATGGAACAAGTAAAACAATATGCTGTAATAAAAGTTACGCGAATGTGGTCTCTTTCTCTCCCTCTCTCAAAATAACTTCGTTTACTGAACTCACCCTTCTTATGATGGCGAGAATATGAGATGACGAAATACGTATGTGATGAGGTGAATGGTGGAAACACTGTGAGCTAATATTAGGCTACTACTGACCTTCTGACCATATGTCAAAAGGAAGATCACCTGCTTGTGGACCATAGGGTGACCATAGGGAACTGAAACCACAGAACGTGAAACTGCAGGTAAGAGGAGACTACTGTATAACAAATTAGCAATTAAAAAAAAAAGCAAGTAGGGGCGTCTGGGTGGCTTAGTCGGTTAAGCGTCCGACTTCCGCTTAGGTCATGATCTCGCAGTTCGTGGGTTCGAGCCCCGCGTCGGGCTCTGTGCTGACTGCCAGCTCAGAGCCTGGAGCCTATTTCAGAGTCTGTATCTCCCTCTCTCTCTGACCCTCCCCTGCTCACGCTGTCTCTCTCTCTCTCTCTCCCAGAAATAAATAAAAATATTAAAAAAAAAAGGCAAGTAAATATAACAATATTTACATCAGGCAAATTGGAATTAAATGGAAATAGCATCACAAAGAAGGACAGCAAAATCTCTTTTGGATAAAATATGCAATTAGTCAAGCTATCATAGCTCAGACATTTATGTACCTAATAACATAGTTTCAAAATATATAATGCAAAAACAGATATCAAAATCAGAAGAAAATTACTCATCCATTTTTCAAAAGTCCACATTTCAAATAAGTAAGAACTTAAAAGGTTTTAATAAGCGTCACTACATAAATCTATAAAGGCACACACACAAACACACACATACAAGTATATAGAGAATACAAGCAACAAACAGCTTAAAAGGTGACTATGTATTAAGCCACCCACACGCATACATACATACACACACCAAAGTCTTCAGAACACAAAGCATAAGCCGTAGTCTCTGATCATACCTGAAAACAACACAAGAATAGAAATCTGAATTGTTTCGTTTAGACAGGCATCAGATGGGCAAAAATCTAAATGGCAGTTTGGGTGATGATGCAGGGAAATAGGCATTTATAGAAACTTCAGGTAGGAGTATAAATTTGTAATGTCATTTTACAAAATAACTTGATATTACCTATCAAAATTTTAAGTATCATACCGTTGCCTCAGCAATTCTACTTCTAGACATCCCTTATAAAAAAAGTACACATAATTACAAAAGAAATTTGTATAACAACACACAATGAAATGCTAATTATAGCAGCAAAATATTAATAACCCAAATATCTATCAACAGAAAAATAGTTAAATTATTTATAGTACATCCATTATATGAAATGCCAAGCACTGACTTGGAAAGCATCTCCCAAGACATAGTGTTACTTCTTTTTAAGGGTAAAAAATATATGTGTATCCATTCAAATTATATTAAGATGAAAAATAAATAGAAAAAGGAGTTGAAGAATATACAACATACTTTTTACTTCCAGAAAGGGGCATGATGGAGAGCTTTCACATTTTACTTTTTGTATGTTTCAATTGTTTAAATATTTTATGATTTGTACTGCTTGTATAATCCAAAAAAAAGAGCAATTTTTCAAAATTTCATATTTACTTCCTAGGAAAAGACTGGAATCTCTGTTCTTAGTACAAATTTGATCAAACCCACTGGAGAGTATAGCACAAGTATAAACTTCAATCTGTTCTCTCTGCCAGGAATACTGAACTCTCAGATAAAGCTCACTCCTTCATTTCGTGTTTTCCACTTAAATATCATCTTAGGAAACTTTCTTGACTTTTCAACATAAAATGACAACCTCCTACTTCCATCCTATATCGCTCCAACTACTTTACCTTGCTTTGTATTTCACTAGAGTAATTTAACACCTGTGTCTTAGTGTCCCTATCTCTAAAATGGAGGTGATAATGGTACCTGCCCCACAGGGTTGTTGTTAGGCTTAAATGAGCTTAAAGCCTCAGAGGAGTGCCTGACTCTTAACAGGAACCACATCAGTCCATGGTTTTATGCCTCTTTTGTTGATGGTCTGCCTTCCCCCTATTAGAATGACAACCCCAGGAAGAAAGGCCTATGTTTTGTTCACTATTGCATCCCCAATGCCTGGAAAGTGCTCATCAGTAAATATTCATAGCTGTTGATGCCTGATTAAGTACTGCAGCCATATGCATAGACAGCTGAGATTACAAGAAAAAGACCAATTATTTTCAGTAAAAGCTTTCTGCACATTAGCATGAATCATCCGTAATAACTCAATCTACTTTAAAGCATAACATTTAGCAGTACAACTCCTAGAAGCTTCAAACAGGGAAGTGCCATAGTACCATCTAATTCATTAATTTCTCAACACCAAATGGCAAACGAAACTAAAACATGATGCGGAATGAAAAAACAAACACACAACTTACTTTTCATTCCTGCTTTTGATGCATGGCTGATAGAGGACCTTGACGGCATTCCAGGCAGAACTGGAATCTGCCTTTAAGATGTCTTCCAACAGGGGGAATTTTGTGATACATTTGGAACTTCCCAAAGATTCAATCACCAAACTGTCTGAGTTTAAAAGCCACAGCTAAAGATTTGGAGAGAAAAGTCCAAGTATAAGGATATCATTTTCACCCTACCCATATCTCATACCACCACTAAAAAACAAACACAAACAAAACTATAAAATATCAGAAAAAAATACAGGAGAACTATGTATATAATTTTTAAGTATCGTAAGTCTTTCAAAGGAAAACATCTGGTAGAGCCACTGAGATTATAAGTTTAAAAAAAAAAAAAGACAGCCAACTAGGAGAAAATACTTAACAGTATATAACGAAGTTATGATCTATAATATATAGAGCCCCCAGGAAAAAAAAAAGGGGGGTAACAGCCCAACAGAAATGAAGGCAAAGAATATGAACAGAATTAATAGAATAAGTGATGCACGTATATAAAAATGTTTATAACTAGTAATAAGGAAACATAAAAATTGCCTGACACCCTTAACACGTACAGATTTGCAAGTACAAAAAGATGGTATTATCCAGTTCAGAAGAGGGGTCTGGACTGCTGGTGGACGAGTGTTTCAGGATTTGGATGCATGCTGTTTATGAGGGGCTCAGCTGGAGTCTGGCTTCAGCATGACCCCATGGGGAGCTCTGAAGCAAGAATCCCACCCACAGAGCCCGTTTCACCTCCAGACAGGAGGCCCCTGCTTTTTGTACACCAGGGTCAAATCAAGTAGGCTGGAGGCTGACCAGGGCAGGGGTGGGGAAGAGGTAACTTTCTGAACAAGGTGGCGTCTGTCACATAAGGACGAGTTTCTGGAGAAAAGGCAGCTGAGTGCCATTAGCAGCCCATACCTCTCAGCAGCTGGGAAATGGGTGTACCAAACTGAGTAGGATCTGGGCAAGGTACCAAGAATGCCTCACTACATGGGATAAATAAATACAGCTTTTCTGAAAGATGATAATTATCCATTTAAAATACACAAATTCTAATACTGTATTAGATTAGAAAGGTCCATTTCTAAAGAAGTATTAAAATACACATGCAAAGATCACTTTCATTGTCTCACTGTCTTTAACAGCCACACAAAGGAATTCTAGTCCTTAAAGACACCGTCTATATTTACACTAACAAGAAACAATCCTTATGATATACTGATGTGTGAAGAAAAATGCTCATCACATGATTCTGGTATGTTTTACAAACAGAAAAGCAGAATGTGAGTGTATGAACATATAGTTATATAAGGATGGGGGAAAATGTTGAAGTACACATAGCCGATTAATAATTTTTACCTTCAAATACTATGATACAGTAAGAAAGGAGAGAAAATCAGATGGGGGAATACCACTTCCTCTATATTCTTCATGTTGTCTGTTTCGAGGATGTATTACTTTTATAACAAAGAAATTTTTTTCAATTTAAATATATATTAGTAGTAGATTTTAAAAGTTCCTATTCCTGAATTTGACTTGAAAACCTTACAATAAAAGAAAATTAAAACTAATTTCAGACTAGGACTATCAGGAATACTCAGCATTGACTTCAGTCAGAAAGTATTTTAGCTTTGGTAGAAATTATCTGGAATCAGAGAAGCATGGGGACCCCATAATGGATGGACAGCTACAAAGCCACACCTAACAACCTAACCTCCTCTCTCCTTCTAGCTACCATGTTTCCCTATTAGCTTGTGAGTTCCTTAATGGCATTTTTTGCTCTACCCTGAACACCTAGAACAGTGCCTTTAGAATAAGAAATGTTCAATATACGTTTACTGGTTGAATAAAATAGATATAGAGACAGAGAAGAGACTTAGGCCTTGATTCTTAGGATTCTTACAAAAATAGTCCAAATTCTTTTCTGCAGACCATTATTTTTAACAGCAACAGTATAATATTAGATGCTTGTGGTACATGCAGGGGATGATTCTGCTAACTGCAGGGCCTCTTATCTAAAACTTGCCCCTACTTCTCAAACATCAATGTGTTAAAATCAGGATCTCGAAGAGGTATCTGCACTTGTGTTCATCGCAGCACTATTTATAATAGTCAAGATGCAGAAACAATCTAAAAGCCTATCAACCGATGAATGAAGAAAACAAATGTGCTGCATACAAACAATGGAGTATTCTGCCTTAAAGAAGAAGGAAATCTTGTAATATCCAACAATACAGATGAACTTTGAGGACAGTATGTCAAATAAAATAAGCCAGACACTGAAGGACAGTACTGCCTGATTCCACTTATATAAGGAATCTAAAACAGTCTAACTGATAGAAGCAGAGAGTAGAATGATGGTTGCCAGAGGCTGGAAGGAGGGAGAAATGAAGAGTTGCTAATGAAAGAGTATAAAGTTTAAGTTAGGCAAGTTGAATAAGTACTAGAGATCTGTGTATAATATTGTGCCTATAATTACCAATATTGTTATCATGTACTTAAAAATCTATGAAGAGGGTAGATCTCACATTAAGTATTCTTATCACATATACACACATACAAAACCAGGAGTAACTGAATATATTTTCAACATTAAAGTATCAAAAGGGAAAAATAGGGAAAAATCAATAAGGTAAAAAAAGTGACAGAGACAGAACTGGTTATACTGACCAAGAAAAGCCATTAACAACTTAGAGTGAAAAACTTTATTTTGTGGTGGGAGCAGGAAACAGGTTTTATTTCTCTCTATATCCCTAATACCTAGCACATAAAGGCACGTGATCTTCTGTTATTGAGTTTGGTTTGGGAATGAAACTGATATTACAAATTCAGTTTTTGATCATTTATTTTCTGGACCTGAGAATTAAGAAAAAAGAAAGGCAAGACTAAAGAATTTCTGAGACTCCAGATTACCAGGTTACAGAAAGGTGGGAGAAATAACATCTTACCAAGATGTACGCTTTGCCGTCATGACCTTGAATAGTGAATCTGAAAGTGCTTCTAGCAGTGGAGAGTTCCACCAGACACTGGGCGATAACACTCTGTATAAACTGAGACCTGTTTGAACAGAAGTCAATTTTCACAATGTGCCTCTCATAATAACTCTAACTGGAAAGAGGAGCCAAAAATACCCACAGGGTACCCAAAAGGCAGAGGCGTGTGCAGCCAGACTTTTCTATATGCTGCCCATTCCTTCACAGACTGTGCTAATGTGGATTTTAATATATTTTAATGTATTTGTGTTTGCTACAGTCTTCTCATAACCTGTTCTTCAATCCTTAATACATTTCCCATCCCAAACCTAACTATTCCTTGACTGAATATAAAATACTGTTATCAGACATGTCAATATTCCCCTTGTGCTATAGTACATTAAACAGTGAGCAAGTTAAAAAAAGAAGGCTAGATGTTTCCTCTCAAACATTAGACAGTTATCTACAATGATTTCCATTTGGGTCCCCTCAAAAAGTCAGAGCTGAGGTAGAGAATCAAAGTTATTTACATGAGGATAAATTCTAAGGTTAAAATCAGATTGCCATAATTTTCAGATATCCATAAATGAATTGAAAGATAATATTATAATTAACTTCTGTTTGCAAACTAAAAAGATTCCAAGAAAGAAAACACTAATGATTTTGGTGCCTAATTAACATTTTTAAAAAAAAAACACAGGAGTTATTTGAAAATTGACCCACATTTCACATTTTAAATAAGTTATGCTAAAACCAGAAATAATTATTCAAAACCTATTGGTGATTAGGTTATGAGATCTTGGATATCTGACAAATAGAAAGAAGCACCAAAAGCTTTCAGAATTAGAAGATGTTAATAGAAGCACATTTGTTTATGCTACTATGTAAGCAAATCATAAATGAAAGCTCAGGTCTTTTATATGTGTGATTTGGTTCAACTGTCTAAAAGCCTTTCTCAAAGGTTTTTATTTTTTTCCCCAATAGAAGGTATAAATAAAAATGAATTCCCAAATAATCACTTGTACCTATCATTCTCCACATTTAAAATTACAGAACAAGCTTAATTTGTTAATTATACCTTGGTATGATGGGAAAACTTCTTTCAGATGGCTGAATAATTATCTCTGTCATATAAAACTTGGTGGTTTCTAGAAACAAAAAATAAGAAAATTAAATATCTTCCCATTGCACTAATATTTTTATTGTGGAAGTGTTGGTCCCTAATTATGACATCCCAAATTGAATATTCAGTACATATACCAGTAAAATTAACATTCAATAAAACTTTTCCCAAAATGACTTAGTAATTAAGATGACAAAGCACTGGGGCGCCTGGGTGGCTCAGTTGGTTAAGCATCTGACTTCGGTTCAGGTCATGATCTCACAGTTCATGGGTTCGAGCCCCATGTCGGGCTCTGTGCGGACAGCTAGCTCAGAGCCTGGAGCCTGCTTCAGATTCTGTGTCTCCCTCTCTCTCTCTGACCCTCCCCTGCTCATACTGTATCTCTCTCTCTCAGAAATAAATAAAAAAACATTAAAAAAAAAAAAAGATGACAAAGCACTGATGACTACAATGAGAGAGTCCTGAGACTTGAGAGGGCTCGATGTTGTTTCAGCAGAGCATGGCCCAGGTGAATCTGGTGCAAGCACACTCCATTTACATTCACGGAAGGTTAGAAAAATCAGTCACATCACAGCCATAGCCCAAGTATGTAGAAACTAGTCATCGGATTTCCTCATTTTTTAAAAAATGTTTTTACTTATTTCTGACAGAGAGAGACAGTATGAGCAGGGGAGGGTCAGAGAGAGAGAGGGAGATACAGAATCTGAAACAGGCTCCAGGCTAGCTGTCAGCACAGAGCCTGACGTGGGGCTCAAACCCACAAAGGGCGAGATCATGACCTGAGCTGAAGCCAGACACTTAACCGACTGAGCCACCCAGGCACCCCTTTCCTCATTTCTATGGAGTGGTCACAAAGCTAGGAGTCACTGAAAAAGGCTTTTTAATCATGGTGTCCCAGAGCCCATGCAAAAATGCTGTGTTTCACATTAGTATTTCCCAGAATCTCACTGAGTCTACTAATGTATAATTTCCAACAAATCTGGTTATTTGATTACTTAGTTTACATAAAAATTTAAACAGTAAACTAAATATCTTACAGAAATGAATATAAACATAACTATTCAGAATTTTTTATGAAATCTATGAAAAAAATGTTTATTTTTTCTAGTAATGAAGGAAACACAAATTAAAAGATATTCTTTAGCATCAAATAAATATTTTTAAATGATAAAATGTAGCAATGATGAAAATATGGAGAAGTGGGTGCACTTAATCACATACTGCTGTCAGAATTGCAAATGATAGATTTCTGGAAAGCCACTTGATGAAGACCTTAAATATATTTTGATAACATCATTAAACATCTAAGAACTTATCTCCAAGAAATATTCATATCTACAAAAATTTATCTCTAAAGAAGCTCATCAATTAAACTGAAAATAAGTTGCTAAAAATTTAGACTGGTTGGGCTAAACAATTATACATTTAGGCAAGAGAATGTTATGCAGTTATTAAAAATGGTGTGCCAAACAATTTTAATTGTTTTAATAAGATGGAAAGGCATTCTCGGAACATTTTCTGAAAATGTTTTCAATTGCTCAATGTAACACACAAAACAAAGGCAAAAAAAATCAATAGATAGTTTAATAGATTACTATATAGCCAGAGCCATCATGCTGAATTTATCTATTTCTCTTATAAGTTCAATTTTCACTTTACTATTTTGAAGTCATGTTATTATGTGCAGAAATGAACCTTTTAACATTATGAAGTGAGCCCTTTCATCCCAGCTGTTGTTAAACTATAAGTTAATTCTACAATTTTAATCTTACAAGGTATTATTATTATTGCCTTATGCAGTTAGCATCCATTTAATGTCTCTCATATATTTATCAGTTTCTTTACCAAACCTTCTTGAACTTATACTTTCTAACTGGGATCGTTTTCTTCTACCTTCTACAGGTAGAATTCTATTCTTCTACAAGTAGAATTTCTTTCAATAAAAAATGAAACCACTAGAAATGAATTATTCTAGTGTTTGTCAGACAATATATCTACCTTTGTCTTGACTCTGTCCTACTAGGACATTTTCATCCTATAAAATCCTAGGTTAACAGTTTTTAACCTTTGTACATACTGACACTATCATTCCCTTGTCTTCCATCTTCTATTACTATTGTTCCTTTGAAAGTGATTTGTCATCTTTCTCTGGTTGTATTTAAGATTTTCTGGTTTTTGTTTAGTTGTCTGCAGTTATCACTCAGATGTGTCTAGCTATAGACTTCTTTTCATTTATCTTACTTGGGCTTCATTTAATTAGAATTCATTGGATCTCCTTAATTTGTAGATTATTGTTTTTCATCACTTTTGTAAAATTCTTAAGCAATTGTCTCTTCAAATATTGTCCATGCTCCATTCTGTTTATTTTCCTTATAGAAGTCTGATTAAACATATGCTATTAGAGGTTCCTCAAAGTTAAAAATAGAACTAATCTGGGGCACCTGGGTGGCTCAATCGGTTAAGCGTCTGACTTCGGTTCAGGTCATGATCTCATGGTTCGTGGGTTTGAGCCCCACGTCAGGCTCTGTGCTGACAGCCAGCTCAGAGCCTGGAGCCTGTTTCCAAATCTGTGTCTCCCTCTCTCTCTGACCCTCCCCTGCTCATGCTGTCTCTCTGTCTCTCTCTCAGAAATAAATAAAACATTAAAAAAAATAGAACTATTCTATGATCCAGCAATTGTACTCCTAGGTATTTACCCAAATATACAAAAACACTAACTCAAAGGGATACATGCACCCCAATGTTTTAGCAACATTCTCAGCAAAAGGTAAATTATGGAAAGAGCCTCAAAATCAATTGATTGACGAATGGTTACACACACACACACACACACACACACACACACACACACACACACAGAGGAATATTACTCAGCCATGAAAAGAATGAAATCTTGCCATTTGCAATGATGTGGACGGAGCTAGAAAGTATTGTGCCAAACAAAATAAGTCAGTCAGAGAAAGAAAAATACCATATGATTTGACTCATATATGAATTTAAGAAACAAAACAAATGACCATAGGGTAAAGAAGAGAGGAAAACCAAGAAACAGAGTCTTAACTATAGAAAACAAATTGACGGTTACCAGATGGGCTAAAACGGGTGATGGGGATTAAGGAGTGCACCTGCTGTGAGGAGGCCCAAGTAGTGTATGGAAGTGCTGAATCACTAAATTGTACACCTGAAACTAATACTACACTATGTTAACTGGAATTTAAATAAAAACTAACAAGACAAAACATGTTAGATCTTCTCAGTGTATGTTTTATGTCTTACTGTCCCCTATATTTTTTGCCTTGTCTCTCTGTGCTGGCTTACAGATTTTTCTTCTCATCAATTGCCTATTCATTAATTCTTTCTCCAAGTTGTACCTAGCCTGTCATTAAAACCTCCACTAAAATCTAGATTTCAGCTATATATTTTTTAGAAATTCTACTGTAGATCTTTTCCAAATATGCTTGCTGTTGTTTCCTTTTCCTTTTGATACTTTCAAACCAATCTCTTTTATTGTCAAATATAGACAGCAGGATTGTTACAGTTTATGTCACAGAATTCCAATAACAGAGGTCTGTTTCTCTTGTTTGCTATTTTGTTAGTTCCTGCTGATAAAAGTCTAGTCTACTTGTATGTTGATTTATCTTTGGTTGTATGGTGAACACTGTACTTGACAAATTATTTGTGGTATTCTAATATGAGTTTTACAACAAAGGTATTTTCCTCCAGAGGTAATCTGCCTTTGATTTTTGCCAGGCACAGGTGTTATGGCTAGCCCATGGCAGACTAAACAAGTTTAAGACTTGAAATTCCCTGAAGTGTCAAAGCGCTGATACCTGTCTGTAATTCCACAGGGCTGTTTAACCTTCACAACAAGGGTATGGCTTTTTAGGGCCTCAAATTTTTGTGCAGAGAGTAATCTACTAGGTTCCCTTTGTGTGTAGTCTTTAATTTATATCCTTACTTCTCAAAGCAATCAAAGTAAATGTTCTAATTTTAGAGAACTGGCACATTGTAGTGAAAAGGTGGCTTCAATTCTATGCTAACTTTTCAGTTTACTTTCATGGTAATTTACCCACATATTATTTGTTTATCTTGCTCCTCAATTCTTCCTATGGATTCCAGTTACCTTTGTTATCTTTTACTTCAGCTTGAAGAGCTTTCTTCAGCATTTTTTTGTAGAAAGGGTCTGCTAGTAATGCATAACTTCCATCTATTTATATGAAAATTCACTTATTTTGCTTTTATTTTTGAAGGACAGTTTTGCTGGATATAGAGTTGTTAGTTGACAGGTGCGTAGTTTTTTTATCTTTCCTCCCTCCTCCCAGCATTTGAATATCTCATTTTAGTGTCTTCTGGCTGTCACTATTTCTGTAAAAAGTCAGCCTTAATTGTATCATGAAATCCCTGTAAGAGATGTTTTGTTTTTCTCTTGTACTTTCAAGATTCTCTCTTCAGGGCGCCTGGGTGACTCAGTTGGTTGACCATCCAACTTCAGCTCAGGTCATGATCTTGCAGTCAGTGAGCTCCAGCCCCCCGTCGGGCTCTGTGCTGACAGCTTGGAGCCTGGAGCCTGCTTCAGATTCTGTTGTCTCCTTCTCTTCTCTGACCCTCCTCTGCTCACGTTCTGTCTCTCTCTCAAAAATAAATAGAAACATTAGAAAAATGTTTCTCTCTTCATCTTTGGCTTCTATTAGTTTGACTACAATGTGGTTGAGTGAGGTCTTCTTTGTGTTTACCCTACTTTTCATTGCAATTCTTGGATCTAAAGGTTAATATTTTTCACCAAAGTTCCCAAGACTTCATCCACTATTTTCTACAAATTCTTCTCACCTTCTGAGACTTTATTTACACATTTACTGAAACAATGGGTATTGTCCCACAAATATCTGTGGTCTTTATCAGTTTGATTCATTTCTTGATCATTTCTCTCTGTTCTTTGGATAGGTTAGTTTCTATTAATATACCTTCAAGTTCAATGATTATTTTTTCTTCTGCCATCACAAATATGTAATTCAGCTAATCCAGGAAATTTTTTACTTACTGTACTTTTTGAGCTCTGTAATTACCAATGATTTTCTCTTTGAAGTTTCTAATTTGTTGAGACTTTCTATTAGTTCACTCAAGAGGTTTTTGTTTTCTTTCAATTCTTTACCATATTTATAATAGCTACTTCAACATCTTTGTCTAACATTTGTGCTTACTCAGCACCTGTTTGTTGAGTCCTGTTTTTTCTCTGAGTAGCAATCACCCTTTTCTGTTTCTTTGCATGTCTAATAATTTCTAAATGGAAGTAGGACATTGTATGTAATATATTGTCACTATCCTGGATTTTGTTTTGTTCTTTCAAGGACTGTTGGCTGTTAAGTATAATAGTCAATTAACTAACTTGAGCTCAAACTATGAAATATGTTTCCCCACAGTGTGTTGCCACTAATGCTTCTCCTCAGTTTTATTTTACTTAGCCTGGCTCCCTAGAGTATTCACTATGCCTTCATAATTTAGCTGTCAGCAGACGTGGGGAGATGTTTGCTTAAATACTTTAAGCCACTAAGGTTTCTACCTTCTGCTGCTCAACTGTGCATAGATTGAGAAATGAAATCAAAGGCATGGGATGTACAGGTCTCCTGAGCTTTCAATTCTTATTGGATCCTCTGGACCTATTATGTGCATTTAGCAGTCAGCCAGAGCTGTGTGAAAAGCTTATCATCTTAGCCTGTCCTCGGCCTTTTGCTTCCAAAATCTCCCTCTTAAATTTCTAGTTTCTCCTTTGCCTATACTGAACTTCACATTATTATGACTATAATAATACCATGGAAATGTTTTCTTTCCTGTTCAACCTTCTACTTTCCTGCAGCGCATAACTTCTTTCTTTTTCACTATATTAGTCTCCTAAGCACCTTTAGCTAATTCTTCTTATCTGAAGATTGTTACGTATTGTCATATAAATCAAAGACTGTATCAGTTTCACCTTGTAACTGAAAACATATTTATTGCAATCTTCTCTCCTTTTGCTTCAATCCAGGCTGTTATTCTCTAGGCCTGCTATGTGTCCTTCACTCTGAGTCTCCCTTATCTGTGTTAGATAATGCTTCCCAAATCCCATGTCTTCTATCTCGAGGTTAAATCCTTAGTTTTGGTATATATCCTATAGTACATTCCTAAGGAAAATGTACATTTGAGGTCTGTGTATATGTTATCTTCATACTTGACTGATAGCTTGACTATGATAGAATTATGGATTAAAAATCTTTTTCCTTCTAAATTATGAAGGCGTTGCTTCATTGTCTTCTAGCTTTCAAAAATGCTGTTAAGAGCTCAATGCCATTCTTGCGGCACCTGGGTGGCTCAGTCAGTTGAGTGTCCCACTCTTGATTTAGGCTCAGCTCATGATCTCACGGTTCATGGGTTTGCGGATCGAGTCCTGCATCAGCCCCACGGACAGCAAGGAACCTGCTTGGGATTCTCTTTCTCCCTCTCTCTTTGCCATTCCCCTGCAAACATGCTCTCTCTTTCTCTCTCTCAAAATAAATAAATTGAAAAAAAAATCAATGCCATTCTATTTCCTAATCCTTTGTACAATACTTGCTTTTTTCCCTCTGGAAACTTCTTCCTTGGTATTTGAAAATTACTCAATGATACAGCTTTGAGTAGCTGCCTTGCCATCCCATTAATCATACTGGGCATGTAGGGGGTCTTTTCAGTTGAGAAACTGAAGCCCTAGCTCCGGAAAATAGCCTTGTAATGCGTTTTTAGTATTTCTGGCCTTCGATAATTTCCTAAACTCTGTTGTCTCTATTCTTTCTTTCTAGAATTTCTATTAGCTGGATGTTGAATATCCTTAGCTGGGATGCTGAACATCCTAAAAGTCTCCACTCATTAAATAGTATTTACTGGGTACCCACTATGTGCCAGATATTGTTTTAATGCTGAGATTACAGTGATAAATGAGACAGACAGTATCTCTACCCTCAGGAAACTTACATGATGATTTTTTCCCCATAATTCCTTTCCAATCTTTAATCTCTGACTTTTGGTTCTGATTTATGAGATAAGACAGTTCCTTAATTTTATCTTTTAGTCCTTTGATTATGTTTTTTAAGCAATCACATCTTTAATGCTATATTCTCTGAATTATGGAGACAATATTATTTCATTTCTCTAAAAACATTATTTTTGTCAAAGATTTTCTTCTGTTTTATAATTAATTTGTTTTTTCTCGGTGCTTTATTCTGTTTACTTGATTATTTACTTCAGTCTCTTTTAGGTGGACATTTGCTCAACTATTTTTTGATTCTCAGCAATCCATTCATTTAAGATATAAAAACACTGATAGGAAACTCTTACATGTGGGTACAAGGCTAGTTGACTGTAGGGTGGCTAGACCTAGGTTCATTTTACTGTTGAATGGTGGCTAAGAGAGTATCTGCAAATCTCTTCTCTGATTGGTATTCTCCCATTTTCAAAGAAAGAGTCCTCTGATCTCCCACCTTGAGAGTATAAGCAAGTTGCAAATAGAGGAGGAATCTTAGAAGTCTTACACCTCCATATAAAAATTCTGAATTAATCATCCTTTGTCCAGCCCCTTGTCTCAGACTGCTTTCCCTGTTATCTGTTGTGTCCAAATTCCGACCAGCTCTGAGGCTCTACTGCGAGTGCTAGCTCTCTCTTCACTCAGATGATCTGCAGACACTGAGGCTACAGCTTCCACCACACAGCAAAGTGTGTTCCCACACCTCTCAGTTTTACAGTTTCCAAAAAATGTCTGCTTATACCTCTTGTTTACATCACTGTCACTTCCTCCCAATTTCTCATGGTCTCTGTGGATATATATCTTTTTTATTCCTTAACTGACATTTTAACTGGGCTTCAGGGAGAAGAGAAAAGATTTAAAAAAAAAATCAATTCACCTAATTTGACTGGAAGTCTTAAATTTTTCTAAGTTTTTGCTTAAAGGGCTTGCTTTCATTCTGCAAAGTGATGTTGGGGATGGCAGCCTTTACCACAACTCCTTCTTCCTTTTCTGTTCACTCTGAGCAAGTATACTACTTGCAAAATTCTGATGATTTTAAAAAACAAACAAAAAGACCAGCAGCCACCTTCTCTTAGATGCACTGGCTTTACTTACATCTTCTAATTAACCGTATTACAAATAATCATGTCATCCACAGAGCTAATGCAGCATGTTGTAGCTCTCCAGAAATTTTTAAATCCTGGAGCCTGCTTCAGATTCTGTGTCTCCCCACTCTGTGCTGCTCCCCTGCTTGTGCTCTATCTCTCTCAAAAACGAATAAACATTAATAAATAAGTAAATAGCAATGCAATTTAATTATCATGATTTAATTATATTTAAAACTGATTTATATAAATACAGGTATAATTATTGGGAAGAGAACAGGAACAGAGCATGAAACGCAGAATGTGTTTTCTTCGATTTCAACAGATTCTCTTTCAACCCCCAAAATACAGCCCTGAGACAGATGGCAGTCAAGAAAACTTCATCATTTCTAGCAACCAACAATTCTGACTGAGGAGTTGTGCTGAGGAAAAAGCCCCAATACTCTTTAAGAAAGACCCAAGGCCAAACTTTATACTATAGTTTTATATCCACTGAAAGGATATAAAATACTGAAAATGACCCAACCTTTTAAGCTTAAAATGCAATACTATGTACTTACAAAGGTCAAAATACACAAACCTCTTGGCATATTGGATGATATGTTACTAGACTTCTATTTTAAAAAATCATCAATTTTACAATATATATTAGTTATCTATCTTTCACATAGATTTCCTATAAAATCTCCTTCTACTCTTTTTTAATAAGGGGGCAATCATTTTGGCTATTTTTATTATGAAATTCTTACCTGATGACATGGTCTCTCCCAACATTACCTTGCAACGCTTACAAATTACTTTGGTATTTGCCTTTGGTTTCTGTAGAACAGAAAAATGTCATTTAAATGTCATTCAGCTTTTCTTAAAAGGAATATATAATTTTAACACAGTCTCTAGAGTATACTTTGAACTTTACATTTTATTTTGCCCTCTACTAAATACTGGGAACACATTTAGCTTGTATGCATAATTCACATGCATAGAGATCTTTTTTTTTTTTTTCCAAATCGAAAGAATAATGAACACACTGATTTTTGCAAACATAGCCACTTCTTGATAATCTAACTGTTGTAAATAATTTGAAAAAAGAGCACCTTACATTTCTAAAAAGCACTTCCAAACACTCATTATCATTTAGAATGAGGTGGTAGATGGCAGGCAACAAAGGCAGAGAGAGTAGGTGACTTGTTCCAATTCATGTGTCTAGAAAACAGGAGAATCAAAAATTAGAGCCATTACTTTGATTTCTAGTCCAGTGTAACTTATGGAAAAGTAATCTTTAATTCATAGCCCCTCACCAGAAGTCAAAAATATTTAATCGGTTAAGTGGCTGCCATTGGCTAAGGTCATGATCTCACAGATAGTGAGTGCCAGCCCAGAGCCTGCTTGGGATCCTTCTCTCCTCTCTCTCTCTCTGCCTCTATCCTGCTTGTGCTCTCTCTCTCAAAATAAGTAAATAAACTTAATTTTTTTTAATTTAACACATTCATATAATTTTTTCTATTCATTCAACATATTGAATTTAACACATTCATATAGTTTTTCAATTTTTCTACTTAAGATATGCATTATAACTGGAAAGACTGGACAGTGTGCTGAGAGAAATTCTTAAACTTCAAAACTCTAAATTCATCATTTGGGATGCAGATTAAAACAGCAGTATCCAACTAAACATTAAGCAAACAAAAAAATGTTCTTTTAGATTCAGAGAACAGATTGGTTCAGAGAATCAGATTGGTGGTTACAGAGGCAGGGGTTGGCAAAAATGGGTGAAGGGGGTCAAAAGGTACAAACTTCCAATTAGAGAAGATGGAAGTCATGGAGATGTAATGTACAGCATGGCGACTACAGTTACTAACATTGTATTATGTATTTAAAGTTGTTAAGAGAGTAAATCTTAAAAGTTCCCATCACAAAAGAAAAGTTTATAGTTATGTATGGTATGACTTATTATGGTGATCATTTTACAACACATGCATATATGGAATCATTATATTATACACCTAAAAGTAATATAATGTTCTATGTCAATTACACCTAAATTAAAAAAAAACACCTGGTTTTTCGTTTTTTATTAGAGGCTATGTTATAAGCAGTAGCATGGTGGTTAACAGCTCTGAGTTTGGGGCCAGACTTCCCAGGTTTAAATCCCAGCCTGCTGTTTATTACACACATGACGTTGAGCAAGTTAATGGACCAGTTTTGGTTCCTCATCTGTAAAAGGGAGTTAATAGTAGTGTTTTACTCCCTAGCGTTGTTCATTAGAAATTAAAAAGGAGTGTTATAAAGCACTGTCCCAGGCTCATTGTAACTCACTGTGCCTCACTGTGCCAGGTGTATGTTACATAAATGAAACATAGTTTGGGCAAATGTTATTCAAGGAATGGGCTGAAAACCCATACTTTCCCATAAAGGGACCATTTTTTTTTTTTTTTTGCCTTTTACTGGAGAACAACTGCATGTTAAGAATTTACCAAAAAATATGCTTTTTTTCACATCCATAGCAATACCTTTGTTAAAACCATGTAACATTCCTTTCACAGACACACCGCAACATGGGAGACTACATGTAAACGTGAGCAGGGAAAAGGAATTTCTACACTCTGCCAACCTCGGGTCATCTCCTAGATTGCTGGTCTAAGTAAGGAAGGGTGTCTTCCTGATGTGGGATATATGTATTGATCCAGGGAATCTTAACTGATTAGGGTAAGTTTGAGTACAATTATATTTTCCTTAGCATAAATAACTATTTCTGGAAAAACTGTATAAGAAGCACATTTAAATTGAGTTCCCTGGATGTGCTAATAACTGACAATGCTGATATTTGAATCTGGACCCCTTAGATGCTAAAACTTATGCTTCTAAGCACTATGCCCAGTATTTTCCAAACTAATTCACAGAATCACTTCAATGGGTTATATCCTGCATTAAAATAATAAAAAAAAAAAAGATGAAATAGGGACGTGTAGATGGCTCTCAGTTAAGGTCATGATCTCGCAGTCTGTGAGTTTGAGCCCTGCATTGGGCTCTGTGCTAACAGCTCAGGTCCTAGAGCCTGCTTCAGATTCTGTGTCTCTTCTCTCTACCCTTCCCTGCTCACACTCGCTCTTTTTCTCAAAAATAAACATTAACATTTTTTTAAATCTAAAGATGACGAAATAAAACAGCAATATCACAGTGCTTCAAACACAGTGGACGTACTGCTTCAACAAAATTTTACTTGCTGTATGTTTTTGTGGGTGCTTATGTGTTATCAGATCTTAACGTAAAAAATGTATTTCTAACTTTAATTTGAGGTAAAAAAAAAAAAAAAGTCAAAGCCACAGACACAGAAACCAAGGCAGGTGACAATTCGGTCAGGTGCAGGCAAGGAAACAAGAAGTATCAAAGTTCAAAGTATCAAAGTTCAACTTGTTCCTGTGCCAAGTTCCTGGGTGGCTCAGTCGTTTGAGCGTGTGACTTCAGCTCAGGTCATGATCTTGCGGTTTGTGAGTTCAAGCCCCACATTGGGCTCTGTGCTGTAAGCCTGCTTTGGGTTCTGTGTCTCCCTCTCTCTGCTCCTCTCCTGCTTACGCTCTTTCTCTCAAAAATAAAAAAACATTAAAAAAAATGTTTTTTGAAGGATACAGGAAGCTCAGAAAGCAGGTATGTTCAACTGAAACTGACATTGGGGCAGTTTCATGCTTTCTTACAATAAAAACAATCTGTATAGCTCCAAATCGGTCTTTAAGACACTTTTTAAAAGATCCTATTTTGTATCAGTTAAATCAAATCACCCTCATTATAACTTACCAAAACTAAAAACTTTACTTTTTTTGGGGGGTATTGGAGTGGCAATGTTTGAGAAGAAAATTTTCTATTCAAAGCAAAAAAAATTTCATCAGGTGCTCCATTATGTATTTCATTTATAACTGCTCTTACAGTACATTTTGCTTTTTTTACAATGAAGCGAGAAAGGTATTTTTGTTGGTTTATTCACCAAAAAAAGTAAGTCTACCTTTTCAAGACACTGATAATTAAGATTTTAAAATGTGATCAATAAAAAACAAATTATCTCGAACAACGAAATGTGTATATTTTGATTCAAACAAATGAAGATACCTTTAATAGAAATGGTAAAATCTGTATGTGTATGTCCTAGGATTTTGTCACCAAGTAATGATTCTTCATTTTTGTCAAATGTAAAATGACACTATGGTTATCTAAAAAAGAAAAATCCATATGGGATGAAATGGCATAATGTCTGGGATTTGCTTTAAAGCACTTATGTGTGGGGGTGGGGAGGTTAAAGGTGAGATGAAGCATACTTTATGAATCAAGATGACTGGTATATTGAAGTTCACAATTCTATTATTTTCACATTTGTTAATGTTTACAAAGTTCAACACATTATTCTGAGAAAATAAGAAATACACCCTTATGGAGTTAACAAATTACCAAAATCAATAAATTACTGCTAAGCACCCCAGGAAAGAAAAAAAATGTAAAGCTGTTAGTTGTACTTGACAGCAGCAATATAATCAAAGTTCAACTTGTTCCTGTGCCATACTTTCTAAGTCTAGAATAATATTATGTATCTTCTAAAAGGCTGAGGTGCCATCTTTATCATCCTATTATAAGACGTGAAATTTTTATTATGTTGGTAGACACAAAAAAATAGCATGAGACAATGAGTAAATGCAAGAATAAGGAAATTTTATTCCTTACTCTCATGAATAAAGTTATCTCGTGAAAACAAAAGTTATCTACTGCCACATTTTCAGGGACAAATAACATACTGCACACTGTTAAAGAGGTACTGAAGGAAAGAATTAAGTGTTAAATTTTGTGTGTTTATGCTATTTTTAAATTCAGCTCTTTTTAATTAAAATATTATAACAGTCTACATTTTATTTAAAGAGAAGCTCCTCTTTGTAATGCATTTCTCCTGACCAATGCTTAAAGGCAATAATACAGCAAGTTGTGCAATGAAGCAGCCTAACAGTGTGGGAACTCTACAGAGCAAACATCAAAGAAAGACCGTGTTGTGAACTAATTAAATCAATATATCTGAGAGACGGCACCACTGCTTAGAGATGTGGATTGGCCTCCTGTCTTCGTTTTTATTTCCCTTTGTGTTGTTTCAATTTCTAAGGACCCCTGATATTGTCTCACCAAAAAAAATGTTTCCCAAGAGATACCATTAGGATGCTGTGTCATCATGTGACATTTCAAAACCCTGCTAGATAGCTAGACTTGGTGATATGAGAAATAGGTTTTCAATAGCACAGAGCAGCCTTGTTCCCACAGGAGTCTTGAGAGCATTGTTTAAGCAGTCCCTCCAAATTTATGTTACTATTTTGGTCACAGGCATACTCTTTCAACTGCTGCAATATGCAATTAAAGAGAAACTTCCACCTTGGCTAACTTGGAAACAATCTTGTGAACAACAGCTTGTGACAGGAGCTTCCCACAGTCTCAATGATACTAAACAGCATTAAGTCTGAATATGAAGGGTCTTCCTTTAACACAGAATGGTTGTTCACAATTAAGAGACATTCTTATAAATAGCATCATATAACAGATGAAGACATAAACGAGAAGAATATTATTTCCATACAGAGTACAGAGTTTATCTAAGAAGGGAAACTCATGATTTCTCTCTTTTAATCTCTCTCCTCTCTTCTTCCATTCACACCTTGCAAATATTCTAAAAACTTATAGCTTATCACAAGAATGAAAGTTAAAGTACATAAACAGTAAAGTATTAATAAATAAATTTAGATTAAAATACAATTTTAAAGTAACCGTATTAAACATATAACAGATTTATATTAATTTCTTACCATTTATCTTTGAAAACTATATAAGGAGTAAGTACTATAATTTTAAATGAACCATATTTAGGTAAAAGGATCTGTGTTTATGATGAGAGATAAGGCACTTAACTAATTCTGATAACTTTGATAGTTGATAAACTTCCTTAATCTGTCCTCAAAACAGAAAATAGTTCTATAAACTAACTTACAACCTAAGAGCTGCCCAACTTTTTCATATCTCCTAAAGCGGTTTGGTTTTTGTTACAAAAATTAAATGAGTTTCAAATGAAATTTAACATACAATGCTTCTGTTCCTACCAATAATCAGATGTGAAAATGAAGATTCTCTGGCAATGATTTCCTTTACTTTTTAAATCACATCTATATTGATTTGCCACCAGAATGATTTCTCACAAGGGCCAAGTCAATGTCATTGATTTTCTTTTAAAGTAAGGTAAACCATTTATTCTCGGCAGTGAGAGGAAATTGCCTTCTCCCTAAAGCAACTTCTACAGCAAGAGGCACTTGACCTCACACTGTCAACCACCAGCTTGGAGCCTGCAGCACAAGCTTCAATTCCACATTTCCACACGGAAGTGGACTCCCCCATTTCCTTGACGGCATCTGCTTACACGACATCAGCAGACATGGGGAAATACCTAGGCCCAACTGTATACTACATATCCTGGAACAAAGAACACTTGTAATTTAAATCAGACTATGCAGATTATGGAATATTACCCTAAAAACAAGAAAGTGGGGCAATTTGGTTTGTAAAATGGCAACATTCCCAATTCTATGCACGAAGAAGTCCTCTTTCCCTTCTTCCTCCAGCCCCCGTAAGCTGTTTTGGTCTAAAGCCTTATGCTCTTGCTGTATCAATAGAGCAGAGCTGGAGAAGAGAGGAAGCTGAAAATAATGGATTTTGGTCCTTAGAACAGTCTGTGTAGCATGCTTTAACTAAGAAAAGATTGGGGAGACCAGTTTCTAAGCCAAACTCTAAATTAGCATTTATTTTGAAAAAATGTTTTACCAATTTAAAACGGTTCTCAGAAGAAAGACGGTGTGTCTCCACTGGGGCTAGTTCAGGTCTTGGCTGCCATAAATCACTTCTTAAATTCACCAAGAAGAAAGAGTCTCCAATAAAACAGTCATTCTCTTGTGGATGAAGTGACTTATTAGCAAAGGGGTCAGGATGACAACACCATTCTCCAACTAGAGCTCCCCAGTTCTCACTTGGCAATGGGAGCACCCTGAGGAGCTTCCTGGTAGAAAGAGGAAAAGCAATTTTTTACAGAACAAAATGAAAATGTAGCATTTTAAAATTAAATCAGGATGAAAAGATGAAAGAAACTCATTGATCACATTGTCTGCAACAATAAAATTCCCCCTTGATTACAAAAGTAATATATACTCACTATAGGCAATTTGAAAATGTGTAAAGGTATAAAGAAAATGAAACTACTTTGTAAATGATGCGATGTTTCCTTGCAATCAGTTCAAGAAACCATAGTAGTACACATGTACACAGCCCAGGATCAGAAGATATATACAAACTGAATCTTGCTTTTATTTTTACTATTTTTTAGTTATATTATGACTCTTAATGCCTCCATTCTATTCTATAAGTATGCCAAAACTTTTAGGTCATAGATTTTGAGGTTTTGAGATTTTCAGTATCAACAACCCTGCGATGAACATTCCTATTAGAAAATTTGTATATATACCTGTATTTAATAAATAAATTTGTATTATTTCCTTTGGAAAAAAATCTTACAAGTGTGAGATTATAATCACAAATTATATACATATTTTAAAACCCAATACATATTGGAAAACTGCTTTTCATAAAGGGTATATCAAGTTATAGTTCTTCTACTTACCTTCTTCAGAATTGAATACTATCATTTTTCCATGTAATGGGTGAAAATGTTCTCAGTACCACTTTAATTAGTAACTCTTTAATTGCTAGTGAGATTGAACTGGCTTTCATATTTATTGACCAGTGTGTTTCTTCTGTGACTTGTGATCAATGGCTATTTTCCAATGAGGTATTAGTATGTTTTTACTAATGTTTAAAAGTATATTCTATCTTGGGATGCCTGGGTAGCCCAGACCACTAAGTGTCAGACTCTTGATTTCAGCTCGGGTCATGAACTCAAAGTTCTCGAGTTCAAGCCCTGCCTCAGGCTCTGCACTGATAGTGTGAAGCCTGCTTGGGATTGTCTTTCCCTCTCTCCTGGCCCCTCCCTTGCTCACATTCTCTCTCTCAAAATAAGTAAACATTTAAAAAAAATTTATAAGAAAAATAAAAGTATATTCTCTCTTAGGAATATTAGTCCTTTATCATCTGTGATGAGTTATTTCTTCAGTGTTATTCCCTTTTTTAAAAAGTTTATTTATTTTGAGAGAGAGCAAGGGCATGCACTCATGCAAGCTAGAAGGGCAGAGAGAAACGGAGAGAGAGAGAGAGTCCCAAGCAGGCTCTGCACTGTTAGCGCAGAGCCCAACACGTTTCGATACCATGAACCTTGAGATTATGGCCTGAGCTGAAATCAAGAGTCACTCAACTAACCAAGCCACCCAGGTGCCCCAGTGTTACTGCCTTTTAATTTGGTTTATTTGTCTTAAATTCCTAATCACCTAACCCTTTCTTCTGTGAATTCTCTCATTACTATTTTTTAATAAACTTATTTGGGAATAATTTTAAATTTACAGAAAAGTTACAAAAACAGTACAAATAGTACTCATAACACTACACCCAGCGTTCTCTAAGGTTAACAGCTTTTATAACCATAGAAGATTTGTCACAACTACAGACTTTATCTGGATTCCCAAGTTTTTCCACTAATATCCTTTTTTCCTTTGTTCTAGGATCCAATTGACCATAACACACTGCACTTAAGTCATCATGTTTGCCCAGTCTCCTTTAGTCTGTTACCTGTTCTTAGTCTTTCCTTATTTTTCAGGACCTGGACATTTTTAAAGAGCAATGGTCTGGTGTTTTACAGGGTAACTCTCAATTTAAGTTGGTCAATATTTTCTGAAATTTAGGCTTGGGTTATGGATTTGGGGAAGAGTACCACAGAAGTGAAGTGCTTCTCTCAGTACATCTTATAAGAGGGCACACTCTATCAATATGACCTATCACTGGTGCTGTTAGACTTGAACACTTGGCTGCTGTTAAACCTGAGCATTTGCCCAGTGTGGTATCTACTAGGCTTCTCCACTAAAAAGGCTATGTTTCTCTCTATGCATACTCTATCACTTGGAAGTGAGTCACTAAGTCTAGGCTATACTCAAAGGGAGAGAAATTGAGTTTCACTCTGCTATTTATTATGCTTAAAACATTCTTACAATTAAGTAGGACCTTATATTTGTGACTGCTTTTTTCTTTTTTGATAGTTGCTTTTTTTTTTTTTTCTGGACAACAATAGACACATCAGAAGTTATCAGAATAAAATCTACATCTGTTTTACTCTAAGTTAGGAACATCAGTGGTCTAAGAGAAGAAGAAATGTGGGCAGGATGATGAAGAAAGTTGAAAATAATTAATCCTGAGAAAAACAGAATAGAAACATGCTTGTGGTCTTAACGCCCATGAGCAGTGCAAATGCGTAACCAGTCTCAATACTTGCACACCTCTGCCTCTATCGGCAGAAACATATGCTGATTAAGAGTCAACTGTATTTGATCACAGATCTGTTTATGCTATTTACACCTTGTTTTAGTGACCTGATTTAATTAAATAGTATATAAACCAAGGAAATATGAATTGCTATTCCCCTGAAAACTAAAAATTCCAGACTAAATGATAGCCAGTTGTAAAACAAACAGAAAGAGAAGTGGTGAGAGGTGGGAGGGACATCTCACTATAGAACACTGGAGAGAGAGAAAGAGTAAAAATCTAGAAAAATTCTACAATCCCATGGCTTTAAAATGTCCAATGTCTCATTCCACTTTAAATAAACAGACTGGAAATTGTAAATGATGAATTTTGGATAACATGTTAACAGTGAAAAAAGCTAGACAACAGTGGAGTCATGCTTAACAAAAAGATACTGTTTCCATAATAAAATATTAGTAAAGTACATTCGCATGTTTTAAGTTAAAATATTTGACACAAATGTCTTGTTTTTTAATGATTTCCCCCATGTTAACCCTTTTCTTTGATCTCCTCAACTGAGTCTCAGAAAAAGACTTTTAACTACAGAGAACAAACTGATGGTTATTACCAGAGGTAGGGAAAGGGTTAAACCAGTGACGGGAGTTAAGGAGTGCACTTGGTGTGGTGAGTACCGGGTGTTATATGGAAGTGCTAAATTGCTAAGTGGTACTCCTGAAACTAATGTACTATAGATTAAGACCCACCAGTAAGAAAATGACAGGTGCACATACCACTTTCTCCCACTGGACTCTCTGGAAAGTGAACTGTGGATGCAGGATGCTGGGCAGCAGCTCCATCACCGCTTCACCCAGCTTCTCGAGTATCAGCCCAAAGCTGAGATCCACAAAGGCTGACAGCTGCTCCATTGCACAGATCCACCACAGGACACTGCCTAATAATTATGGACCCACCAGAAACAACAAACCCCAGAGAACCCTCAAACATTCTACCTGGAATACCACCAGCAAGTGGAATCATGGACTGGTCTGTTATATGATCAGTGATGCGGGAGGGGGATTTGTAAATATAAAGTGATTCACTCTATTACTGTTTAGTGGTCATTCTTCTCAATCTCTTCCTTACTGCTTTTATATCAATATAAATTAAAATATAAGAAAATATGTCAATTTTTTAATTTATTATTTTTTATATGTTTCTTTCATTTTGAGAGACAGACAGACAGAGCGAGAGAGGGGTAGAGAGAGAAGGAGACACAGAATTGGAAGCAGGCTCCAGGCTCTGAGCTGTCAGCACAGAGCCCAACATGGGGCTTGAACTTACAAACCGTGAGATCATGACCTGAGCTGAAGTCAGACACCCAACCAACTGAGGTACCCAGGTGCCCCCAAAATGTGTCTATCTCTTTAAAAAAGGCAATTACAATATGGAAGAGGGTAGACATTTAATTAAGAAGTCCAGAGGACAAAGCTAGGAACAAGAAAGTTGATTTTCCTTTAACATAAGGAAGAACTTTCCCTTTTAAATTAGGAAATGGACACTAGTAGCATCAGTCAAGCTGCAGATCTGTTAAGGTTATTAAACGATTCTTTCAACATACGTTTTCTAAAAGCCTTCTATGAAGCTGGCATTGTATTGACACAAAATATTCATACACACAGTTCCTTCTCTCAAGGTACTTATGGCCTCATAGGAGATACAGACTATAAACAAATGATAATAAAACTTTAAAAAATATGATTAATGCTTATAGGAAAGTAATGGTTCTAAATTTTTAGGGGCATGGGAGAGAGGACAGCTTAGACCCCTCTGATAATTTAATGAAAGCTTTGGCCTTTCTTCAAACATACATTCCCATACGTACACAAAACCTGCATATTACTTTAGGAGATTCATGCATTCATAAAACCAACCCATAGATTCAGGACAATAAATACAAAGTCCTAGCATAGTAAAGTGTATATGGATTTCAGAGAGGAGGTGATATCTGGGCTGGCCTTTGAAGGATAAATAGTTCTTCAGACAGTTAAAGGAATTAAGGGCATCACGAGTAGAGTTAACAATATAAAGATGAGCACTAGATCTCTTTAACTTCTGTCTTCCTAGTGTCTGGCACAGTGCCTGACTCATGGTATAAGTTCTTAAATATTTGTTAATGGAATAAACAAGCATATTTTGGTAACTATAACACGTGAGGCACCTGGTTGGGTCTGCTGCATATTGGGATAAAAGGGTTAACAAACCTTTTCCATTGCTACTTGAGAATCTAATGCTTGGTTCAACCACCTAGCTTTGCTACCCTGGAAACCAGGTGAATAGGAGGCATCAATTACATTGCTAGGCAACACTGCTTATGGCAGAATTGACCCCTGACTGGTAAATGGCATCTGGACTGAAAAGAGGTACAAATGAACTGTAAATGTCTGATGAAGGTGCCATGCTTTGGACTTCCTCAAATGCAGTCGTTCGCAAGAAACCCTGGAAATGATGCAAAAGAATTACAAGACATATTGGCTGCTTAGGTCATGAGGCTTCTTCTCAGGGTAGCCCCTGCATCTACTTGATTGTGGACCTTGAGCTTTGTACCTAGAACTGTGTCACACGGGGAGACAAGCTGTCACTTCCCTCAACTTCTCTAGG